TTTAATTGCCGTGGCCGTAGTTTGTGTGCTGCTTTACTGAAAAGGTAAAAAAATCAACGAGAATCAACAAACTCAAGAATGAATTAATTGATTACCAATTGCCGGAGGTTTAGCCTTTGGTTTAAACACTCTAATCACCCTTACTAAATAAATAAAAAATGAATCTCGAAAATCTAAACAACAACTCCTTAGAAAATACCTTAGACAGTGCAACTGAAACTAAATCAGAAAATAACTTGCTAGGAGCTATTTCTAAATGTCTAACTTTCGCTCCTTTGGTTTATGAACAATTAACCGGACAAAAAGTCCCCCAAATCACTGGGACCATGGCCGAAATTCAAGGGGCGATTAACCAGTTAAATACTTTAATGCAAAAAGTTATTGGTAATCAACAAGTAATTGTAGATAATCAAACTAAATTAAATACTCGGTTAGCTAATTTAGAAAATAATGCTAATCAAAAGTTATTTAATTTGACTAATAAGGTTGATAAAATTAGCACGGTTAAACTAACCCACGAAAAAGAAAGAAAACAAATCGAATATAGTCCTAATCAACGTTTAGGTCAGCAAGAATTTGAATAATATGAACTTCCTCGGCATCGATTTAAAACCTTTAACTACTGAACTAGCCAAATTCAGTCAAGGTCAACAACAAATTATCACTCTCTTAAAAGAGAATAATCAGTTACAAAAACTTATTTTAGCTAAACTGGGAGGCCAAACCTCCTAAGTTAAATAAGGAATTAGAGTTTTATCCTTTAATTCTGTTCCTTATTTAGCTTACTGGAATCCCAACAGAAGCTGAACTAAATTTAAACTTCCTAGAATAAAAACACCAGATTTAGCTTGATTACTTTTTAAAAAAAAGTGATCTGAAGAGAACTGTCAACAGTTTTAACTAGAAGTTTTACCTTACTAAAATAAACCTGCAAGTTCAGATTTAATTAGAAGATTATTGATAACCATTGCTAGAATAGATTTGCCAGTACAAATTTAGCTAGAAGACTAATTAAAAACCTACTGGAATAAATATCCTTTTATACAGATAGTTTAACTTACTCTAGAAATCAAACTAGAAAACTTTTTATTTTTAACGATTAAAACAACAAAAAAAACATGCCAAGTATTGAAAATCTAAAAAAGAATGGTTTTTCCAAATCACCGACCATTAGTGCCAAAAGAAATGAAGTGCT